CAAGGTTACTAATAAGCTATCAAATCATATTAGGGAACAATAAAAACAATATAAATTGAAAGATACAAGCAACATAGTTATAGTCGTAAGTGGGGAGAGATGGATACTAGGAAGGAAGAGAAGAAGAATAGTAATACATTCTTGGTAAATTATTGACAGTGTTGTGGGAATTAGTTGTTAAGCAGAGTGATGGCATTTGGGGAAAAAACTGTCTACATTTCTATAGTAATCTATAATTTGGCAAAGAAATGTCAGCAGGTGAATGGAAGGGATTGTAGAGGCAACACGATATAAAATAATATGCTTTTCCCCCCTTACATCTTTCTTGGGCCTATCTGCAATAGAGTGTCCTTCCACAGCCAGACACCATCTAGGTATACTGGCCCTGCCACTCACAAAAGTCCCAGGCTCAGATGACTAAGAAACATTTGGAAGCTGCAGTCTCAATAGTGCAGAAAGAATGACTGCGGTCTGCCTTATATCCTTAGGTCATTAACTGAGCTATTGATGTGCTTTTACTAATAGAAATCTTGCTTTTTCCTTGTTGTGGTCTATTTGAAAGAACAAATTGTTAGTAGAATTGAGTCCACCCTTAAGAGAGAACTCAAAACGCCTTGCTCAAGCTGATTAGATTTGTATGTCTTACATGAATTTGACTATTGTTTTTTTTAATTATAGTTTTTGTGATCTATTAGGTTCACACAGGATGTATATTTGCTAGGGATATAAAAATGATGTAGATAGAGACATCAAGCAAAAGCATATGCTGATTTTGTTCATAAGGCATTTAATTTATTATTTGGATCAGTTGCTGAATATATTGTATGAGCTCTTTGTAGTAGTTTCTAAAGATGGTGATCATATTTCCTTGGGAAAAAATGAAAGAGAAATATGAAAAAGGAGCAGATCTAAAAGACATCAACATATATTGTAATAATTTATGACTTTGCTTCATAAAAGAAAATCCAATAGCAAAACCAAGAAAAACTTTTCAAAAAAATAAATGACAAACGTGAGTTTTTGAAAAAATAAATAAATCTAAAGGAAGCAAATAAAGGACTATCCTTCATAATAAAGGATGTAGAGTTATTGTATTTATAAACCATGCTTGAAAGTTTAGCCTGTTGTATGAATCCAAATAATTGAATTTATTCATTAAATCAAGATTGAATAAACTACAGCTTAGTGTGATCTGGGAATCTAATCAATATGCAATAGATTGAAAAGAAAACAGGTAATTGATCAGTCCGAGACCTTTTTGTTGGTGGATTGGTTGGTTTATAGCTTGATAGGTAGGTAGGTAGTCAATTCATTGTTGATGCTTTGAGATGAGTCCATCAACTCAGACAGCAACATGAGTTGACAACAGCTGGAAGATGGAGGAACCTGGGAGTCACCTAAGATTTCTGCAGGAAAGGATTGTTTCTAGATCCTGAAGTTCTCTTTTCTCTGGTGTTATAATCTCCAAAACATGGCGTGCCCCCACTGACATCTCCCAAATGTCCTGATTGTCATTCTTTGGTGTTTCAGGTGAATGAGGAGGTGGGGAGCTCTTGAATAATTAGCCAGATGCTAAAGGACTTGGCAGGCAACCGTGAGTGGGGAAAAAAGCCAGATGGTTGACATTCCAGTCCTAACCTGCCTTTTGATGCTCAGTTGTGGCCAAGAGGTATTTGGCACCATCTTGGGGAGGGGTGGGGGGAGAGATAGGCAACAATTGTGCTTTGAGACTATGCCATATTCCTGCTAAGTTGGAAAAGCCCTGTTGCTCTGCTGTTTTGCAGAAGGTCCCAGATGAATCTTAGCAGCTTCAGTGAAACAGTAACGGGAAGGATTTTTGGATCATTTACGGAAGTCAGAGTAAATAGCATGGAGCTCAGGTGGATCAAGAGAGAGGCAGATTCCTTGAAATGAAACAGTCAAGTTGACTTACCCAAGAGGGATTCCTATCATCCTCTGTGGGATGAAATAGTATGTGTTAGGAGTGGGAAGTCATATAGGTTAGCTCTTTTCTGGTCAGCAATGCCCTTGATCAGGATCATATTCAATGTCCTGTACTCATTTCATTTCATTTATTGAATTTCTAGGCTGCCCAATCCCGAAGGACTCCGGGCGGCTTACAGAAATGAAAATATTAAAAAAGAATTTAAAAACGATAGGACACAACAAAGTTAGCACAACATACCCCCAATCAGAGGGGGGGGGGGCTGGACTTCAGTCAAGAGGTCAACAGCCCCAGGCCTGCCGGAAAAGCCAGGTTTTAATGGCTTTGCGGAAGGCCATGA